CCTCCCCCGCTGCGGCATCTCCCGCTGCTGCATCCCCCACTGCTGCATCCCCCGCTGCTGCATCCCCGCTGCTGCATCCCCGCCCCTCCCGCTCCCAGAGCCTGCAGCCGGGAGGCCGGTCACACTCAGAGTAAGCTGGTGCTGGCGGCGCAGGCCAGGTGTGTTATGCCGTGACATCCTTCCGGCCGGCCCCCACGGGCCCACACACTTTGAACATATGTGTCTCACTTTAACACTTTATTTAAAACAAAAACAGAAACTTTCAAAGCCAGGCGGGAGGAGCGTGCCTTGTGCAGAACAGCCGGAGGCCTGGGCAGCTGGGCAGGTGCAATCCTGCCTGCTCCCGGGAGGGGGCAGTGTCGCGGCACTCGGCGTGGAGCTGAGCCGGCCTGCTGCTTCCTGCCGCTTCTGAGGCCAGGTGCTGCTTGCCGTCTGCCTCCGACTGTCTGTATCTTTGGGATCAGATCATTCCTTCCTTCCCTACCCCCGCCCCCCGCAGGCACCTTTCTAAAGTGTGTCTTAGAGTGAAGAAACCCACATACTGTGAGCATGAGGGAGGGAACTTGAGAACCCGGTAACTGCTCAGAACGTGCACATCCGTGTGCCCACACTGGCCTGTGCAGCCCAGGGAGGGCGCCCCGAGTGTCAGGGAAAGCTCCCCTGGAGAACGCTGGCTGAATTCTGGGGCTTCTGAGCTTTGCCTTGACCTGCCCAGTGGAAAGTGACCACGCGGTTTTGTTCGTTTGGGGACCGCTGTGTGATTTACCTAACAGGTTGAACGCAAAGGCGGCTTCAGAGCTGAGCAAACGCAGACGCCGGGCCCTTCGTCCTCCACGCCACCATCCTTCATCCAGAGGACGGGGTGACCACCTGCTGGGGGGGTGGCTGCCTGAGCTCCGTGCTGCAGGGTGAACCCAGGTGGCCAGCGCTAGGAGCCACCACGCAGCCGTGCAGCCACAGAACGAGTGAGGTCACTGGGGGGATCGTGAAGAAGCCAGGAAGGGGGGCTGGCAGGTAGTGTGGTGGTTAAAGGCGCTGGACTCCCATGTGGCCGACCGCGGTTCAAGTTCAGATGTGACAGTTTGCTTTATTGCCGCCCCCCGTCTCTCTCTGGTCAAATTAAAATAAATAAGTAAATCAAGTTAAATAAAAAAATTCTTTAAGAAAAAAAACAAAACAGGAAGGTAGCTATACGGGGTGGTGGAGAGGGGCGCATGGCCAGCCTTCAGGAAGGTAGCCAGACGGGGTGGTGGAGAGGGGCGCATGGCCAGCCACGGACCCGCCTCAGCTCCCGCAGCCGTCTCATTAACGGGCCTCTTCCCAGGAGGGGCCTGGCGAGTGCAGGCCTGTGTGAAGCCGTGTCCGCGTGTACGCATGCACGCGTGTGCAGGCTTCTCCAGGGACAGGCCCCAAACTATCAGTAAGAATTGCCTGGGGGAGTGGCGGGGGCTGGCGAGGAGGTTAGATCTGAGCAGTGCGTGTTTAACGGCCCACTCACTTGCCCGGAGGGTGGGAACAGGAAGCGTGTATGAGTTAAGGAGGCAAGCGAGGGGCGTGCTGGTTAAGGCTCCTCAGCAAGTTCATGCACCCTGTGACTAAAGAGCAAGGAGCCGTCCCTGAGTCCTGACGAGTCCTGCCCGCCCTGCGGGCTTCCCCATGCGGCCGGCAGTCGTAGTTTGTCACGATCCCCAGGTCCCTTCCTGTGATCATGTCATTCACTCTGCCCCACAGTGCGGTGAGGCAGGCTTCCTTACCCTGTCTCACAGGTGGGTAGACCGACGTGCAGAGCAGGGACGTGGCCTGAGCTGGCTGGGCGAGGTCCCCGGGCCACAGCTGAGTCCACACCCGGGCTAGCTCTTCCCAGCGCCGTCCAGGAACATGCCCCCGTTGGTGCTCTGCCAATGGCCGGCATCCTCGGGCCGCACATTCTCAAGGGCCTGTCGCCCCAGCTGGGCTCACAGTGGCCCCGTCACCAGCCTGCTTTTCCAACGGGCCGTGGCCATGTCTGTGCGTAGGCGAGATCCACAACGTGGCTCCCCGCCCTCACTGTGCCCCGCTCCCTTCACAGGGAGCCCTTCCGCAAGCTGCTGGCCCAGGGCCTCATCAAGGGGCAGACGTTCCGCCTTCCGTCCGGACAGTACCTCCCGCGGGAGCAGGTCGATTTCACGGGTAAGTGCCTGTGGGCCCTGGGGCGCTTGAGCCAGGCCGAGGGCTGCACAGAGGCAGGCCCTGGTGTGTCGTGAGGCCCTGGCCACCGGCAGGTCCAGGAGGGGACCCGAAGGCTGCCCTGGTGCTGGCCAGCTGCCCCGCTGACCCTTTCATTAGCTCAGCGTTGCTCCTGGTGGGGTTGCGGGTCCCACTCCCTGCTTGCAGTATGCGCAGGGCGACCCCCCCTCACTCTGGCCGGTCTGTTTAGGAAACCAGTGCCGGGCCAGCAGGTGGCGTGGTGTTGAAGGTGGTGGCTGGATTCCACATGGCAGATTCTGTGGTTCCAGTCCCGTACCCAGTGGCTTGAAATTCATGCTGGGTGTGTGTGCATATGCAGGTGCGTGCGTGTGTCCCCCAAATCCCCAGAGAAGAAGGGATTATGTGGCCATGCCCCCAGGGGGTAATGTCTCCCTCTCTCCCTCTCTCTGTCTCTTTCTGTCTGTCTCTCTCTGGCAAGCACACACGCCCTACGGCAAAGACAGAAAAGCAGTGTGGAACGGGTGAGATTGGGTGCACCCAGCGGCCCTTCAGTGCAGGCCTCCACGCCGACCCTACAGAGAGGGCTGAGCTGGAAGTCGCTGGTCGAATTCGCTCACCAGAGCGACCACGTGCCAGGGTCTGGGAGAAACAGAAGGAGATGCAGAACTGCAGTCTGCCTTCAGCACAGGCCAGGGAGGGAAGGCCGGGTCCAGGGCGGCTGTTTCCCTCAGAGCAGGGCTGCCCTGTGCAGCTGTACAGCCCGCGTCCTGCATGGACACCTGCGAGGGGCTGAGCAGGGCGGGCCGGACACTCGCCAGCCGCACGTTCGGGCCATGTCTGCCAAGAGGCCGTTTCTGACTGTCTGGAGCTCGACAGGAAGACGCCGTCCTGATCTGCACCAGTGCTCTGAAAACAGAGCGGCCGAGGCCGAGGGCGGTGGCTCCCCGAGCCTCGTCACACCCTGCATCAGCCGGAACGTGCGGTCCTCCCTGCGCCCGTGCCACGGCCGGTGATGCGGGTGTGGCCTTCCTCCCCGCTGGGCGAGGCTGCCCCGATCCGCGTGGGCTGGCTTCTGGCTCCTTCTGAACGCCCCTCAGGGGTGTGGACTTGGCTTTTTGGCCTGTGTGTGATTCGGTTGCTGGGGAGTTGGGGTTATTTGGCTGGAGAAACAAACACCCCAAAGGCGAGTGGACGCAGGTCGATACGACGTCAGCCTGGCCAGTGCCAGGAGGTCACCACCCTTCTCTCTCAGGCCTTGGGCTCCTCCTGCTCCTCCCCATTCCGCCTGCTCCCCCAACGCCAGACTCCGGCTCTGCCCTCCCTGAGTTCAGTTTGCAAAGTGACCTTGGGCAGCTGCGTGGCACAGCTCACCCAGCCCCTTCGCCCTAGGGGGTCTGGTGCCCACCAACGTCGAAGCAGCCTGCGTCTCTCCATTCCAGTTCCTGGGATGGGCTTAGGCTTGTTGGGCATCCTTCTGGTCCCCTCCCTGGGGCACAGCAGCAGGGTCACTGCACCCTCCCTGGACATTTAAGGCTCTGCGGGACCATCAGGGTCAGCAACGTGCAGTGGGGAGGCACACCCAGAGAGTGGGGTGGTGGCCGACGTCCCGGAGGGCCACTGCGGTGGCAGGACCCAGCAATGTCGCTCTGTGTGCCCCGTCTGGTGACTATGGCGTGGAGTGGCCAGGCCCCAGAGCCAAGCCTGCTGGGCACCGCCAGCTCCGGGGGGGACCCCATGTCCGTTCGCATTTTCATGACGCACCGTGGGGCAGGAGCAGTCGTACGGGGACCCTTGGTTTTCCCCGTATTCTCTCAGCTACCCACGGAGCCGCGTCAGTCACGGGCCACCCTGTGCTTGTCTGGGCCGGCAGGTCCCGTCCCTGTCCACGCAGAGACGAGGGCGGAGCTGGAGGTCACTTGGGAGAAGATGAGCAAGTCCAAGCACAATGGGGTGGACCCCGAGGCCATGGTGGGGCAGTACGGCATCGACACGGTCCGGCTCTTCCTGCTCTTCGCCGCCCCTCCCGAGAAGGACCTCCTGTGGGACCTGCAGAGTGAGTTCCTACCCCGGCCTGCTTGTGTGCGGCTGCCCGGCGCCCCAGGGGGCCCGAGGGAGGGAACTCCTGGCTGGAACCGGGGCGTTCTCGGAACCGGTGCACCGCCCTAGACCGGCCTGCTCCATCTAGAGAGCCCAGGCAGGGCCTGCCCCAGTGCTTCCGTGACTTCTCAGTCACCCCACAGCACCCCCAGTGCCCCACCGGGGAGAGCTGCAGTGACATAAGCACACCCTCCTGCTGTCTGGCTAGGGAGGCCGTCCTGGGTCCAGCAGGCCTTCCGCCCTCCTCCTGGTGCTCTGTCTGAGGTGGGTACGGAGGAGAAATCTGGGGCCGGGTCTCGGCTCCTGTGAGGTGTGAGCGCTGTTGAGGCGTCCCTGTTTATTTCCACCGCTGTTTCGCGTGGGCTATGCTCAGGGCACAGAGCTGTCCTGGAGCTCGCTGCTGGGGCTGCGGAGAGCCCAGACGCAGACACGGGTTCTGGCTCCCGCTCCCACTGCCACCCGGGGTCGGGCTCCGGGGCTGCTTCCTGCCTGCCTTCCAGGGGCTCTGCCGGCGGCGGGCTCACGAACACTGAGCCTGGTGTAAGGATCAGCACCGGCCCTAGGTGCGGCCGTCCCCTTCAGGTCAGAGTGACAGCCGATGGGATGAGCGTGCCTGCAGCTGTCACTCACACCTGGCGGGGGCGGGACTGCGGTACTCCCGCCTGTGGAGCAGGCCGTCCTGCGTGCTGTCCCTGGGCTGTGCGGCAGTAAGCGCTTGTACTGGGGAGGGTCGGCCCTCCCCCATGCACACCGTTAGCTCCATGGGCTGTGTGAGTGACAGGTGTGCCCAGCCGGGAGAATACCAGCATGCCTCCCGACTGAGCCTCTGCTCTGCTGGGCCCCCGCCTAGTGCTGCTGGGAGGGCCCTCCGCCCTGCCCAGGGGAATCCCAGGGCACGACCAGGTGTCCCGCGTCTCGCAGGTGCTTGGCCCGGCCCGACCATGTCGCCCACCCTCACGTCGCTGTCTCTCTCTCTCATTCACGGCCCTGAACGCAGCGGACGCGCTCCCTGGGGTGCTGAGATGGCAGCAGCGTCTGTGGTCCTTGGCAACCCGATTCATTGAGGCCCGGGCTTCTGACTCGTGTCCCCAGCCCCAGCTGCTGAGTGAGGAGGACAACGCCAAGGCCAGGAAGCTGTGGGAGTACAAGAACTCGGTCGTCTCTCAGGTCGGCGTCCCCGGCGCGGCCGTCGGGGAGTGCGTGTGCTGCTCGGGCCCCATGTGGTGCTGCTGCCGTGGCTCCCCCGCGCCCCCC